AAAAAAAACCGTGCTCGCCCACTCAATAATTTCATTCTTGTTTTTGTTTTTTTTTTCATTATTGATATTTATTTTTAGTATTTGATTTTTATTTCAAATTTGGTGAAGAATTTGGATGTAACGTTAAGGCAAATGTTGTTTAGTTTATTCTTATGCATAACATATTATGTTTACAGATTTTTTGGAATTTCGTTTTTTTTTTTTTTTTTTTGGGGGGGGGGAGCGGGGGCTGCGTTCGGCCGAACGCGTCGAGAGGGGGCGCCGAACGTTTGGGCGTTCGGGTTCGGGCGTTTGGCCCGTCCCGAACGCCGGCAACCTTGTATATATATAATATATATAATATATATCATATATATAATATTTTATATAATATATACTCTTCTCCCTCTCTGCCTACGGTTTACCGGGCAGTTCTATTTGACGATATATATATATATATATATATATATTTTTTTTTTAATATATACTAGCTTACCACCCATGGTGCAGTCTACACCCGCAAAAAAAACTACGGTACGGATCAGTCAAAGTACACACACAGACTCCAATGCACTTTCTGTTTTCAAGTTAAGAATATACTTGAAGTTGCGGGGGTGGAAAGGGGGCGTTGTCGGACTTGGATCCACATCTTGCTTCACCACACATGTGACACAACCCCAACCTAAACCTACTTTCACATCCAAAACAAATGTACATCTATGTTTACAGATTCCTAATCCCATGTTGGACTTGGTTCCTGACACACAAAACCTGCACCCCACAGGCTAAGAAATGAACATGAACATTTGTTTCTTCTAATAAATAGTTAAGATTTTCTTTTTTTCAAGTCATGTCCGACTTGGATCATCTTGCTAAGTTTGCTTCACACCCACAAAACCTGCACCACATTCGCTAGGAAATGCGCATTAACTTTTTTTTTTCCTAATAGATATTTAACTTAATTTAAGAGTATCCTTTTCTTTTATCTCAAGTTGGGGGGGACGGGGGGGGTAGAGCGCGAGGGCGTGGATCCCCCTGCGCACCCCTCCCCCCCTCCTCATGTCGGACTTGGATCCATATTTTGCTTCACCAAACACAAAGCCCGCACCCCGGCCTCTAAGAAATGCGCATGAACTATTTTTTT